TAAATTATCCACTATCATCTTGATAGTGTTAATTTTGTTGAATCCCAGATTCAACAATAGTTTCCTCAGCAATCTGACATCCACCACAATAAGCACGGATGCAGTGTAATTATAATAATTGTTATGAGATAAATATTTCTGGAATGTTAGGCTGGAGCAAATCCGGCTCAGGTTCGATGACATCTTGTTGCAGAAGACTGAAGAGACTTGAGCTTTTATCTTAAAAATGACGAAGTCAGAGGAATAGAAAGTTGAGGATCTCTCTCACACACGTGCGCGCTCTCACATGCGCGCACTCTCTGTCTCTCACGCATGCACTCTCTCTCTCACACATGCGCGCACACTCTCACACACACACTCTCTCACACTCTCTCTCACACACACACTCTCTCACACTCTCTCTCTCACACACACTCTCTCACACTCTCTCTCAAACACTCGCACACTCTCTCACACACACACTCTCACACTCTCTCTCACACGCACGCACACTCTCTCTCACACACACACTCTCACACTCTCTCTCTCACACACACTCTCTCACACTCTCTCTCACACACACGCACACTCTCTCTCACACACACTCTCTCACACTCTCTCTCTCACACACACTCTCTCACACTCTCTCTCAAACACTCGCACACTCTCTCACACACACATTCTCTCACACTCTCTCTCACACACTCACTCTCTCACACACACTCTCTCACACACTCACTCTCTCACACACACTCTCTCACACACACTGTCTCGCTCACACACACACACACTCAGTCTCTATCTCGCTCACACAAACTCTGTCTTTCAGATTCTTTGACGATTTGGTCGAACCTTGTTCAGGGAGATTCTGTCCGGTTTCTGAACCAAGAGTAACCGACGATCAGCTGCAGCCCATTCCTTCATCACCTGGAACACACAATCACCCCACAGTCAGCACTGAGGGAGTGGGCACTGTCGGAGGGTCAGTGCTGAGGGAGCGCCGCACTGTCGGAGGGTCAGTGCTGAGGGAG